GTGTCTTCTCCTCCGTCAATTAAGGGTAGGCAGCGCATCTGCAATTGCGGATGTTTGTTGGCAGCGGTCGCTTTACATTTTCGGTGGATTCAGGTGGCCGCTTGCTCGTTTGCCACCCTATTTTATAAAGAAAAAGGTACTATATAACTTTTATGAATACTAACTTTTCCCCACTAATATGTAAGCGCGGAATCAAAAAAATCTTAGTAAGTAGTATATGTGTTTTAGCGACATCCGTTAAGCCGCTTTAGAGTTACATACGTACCAATAAACATCCATCAAACCCAACTTCCGTATTTTGATGTTAGTATGAAGTTTTTGTCGACACATAATTTTCTCTGGAAATTTTTCGGATGCGAAACACTTTCGTAATATATAAAATTAATAGCTAGTAAAATAATGTATTGTAATTTCGATACAAACATTAAAATGTTTGTGTATAAAATAATTGATGGCGTACGGCCCCGGGCCCGCGTTTATGGCGCGAAATAATAAAAGATGGCGCATTGTGACGACATGGCGACGGCGACGTCTTCACGGCAGAAACGGACATAATCTCGTTACGATGTCATAACAAAGAGATTTGTAAGCATGAACTTTATGGTCTGTGTCCAACGAGCTAAAATTTAATTTTCTGAAATAATCTGTCAGCGAGCTATTAAAATTGTTCGCCCATAGGTCGCATCTTTGATGATATCTTTATTACATTAAAAGCGTCGTCATTGTATAACAAAATTATTTTTTGTCTAAACATAATGTCGCATCGCCTAAAAAAATAATTGTAAATCAAATACTTAAGTCTAAAAGATATCACAACCTAGATTTAAATAGGGATGTAATTTCTGTATTTTGATGACTTTCAGGATTGTCATAATAGTTGTTCTCTCGTTGCAGTAATGCGCTCTTTTGAAAGGCGCCTCCTGTCCCCCGCCGGCCCCGCAATCCCCGCCGTCCTCAGCGTCCGTACAATGTAGATAAGCGACGTGGCAATAGGCATTGATGTTCACTGGGGATTTCAATGGCAGCCTCTCCTCGATTCTTTGACGTAGAAAAGGATTTGAAGCAACTCTTTCACAGTGAGCAAATTCCAATTTTGAATAGGTGATGCGATGCGTTCCGGTTTATGGATTATACAGAGAATGATTCGATTAGTGATATGAGAAAAGGAAATGCTATAAGTTATTGTTGGTCAAAGACCAATCTTATTATATAGAAATAAATTGAGTCGCCGAATCAAGTAATAGAATTCTATTGTTGATCAATACAGAAATATCCGCTTGCTACTTGAATTTTTAAATTTATTGAGATAAAAATTACTATTTAGAAGAAAATAATTGCTTCATTTTGTTTAATAATCATACAAAATGGAGTTCTATCGTGTTCTGTGAAAGTGCATTGAATGCGGACTATCAGGGAACGGTTATCTGCCGTCGGTGTGGAGGAACTATTGACGCCTTTGGGATTTAGAGGATTCCCAGACTACGTTTCCATCGGATCTGTGTGCATAAGCATCAAATTATGTTGAGCGAATACCTTAAGAGCTTTGTGGCCATTGTTGGGAGCTTACAATGAAAAGCCTTTTAAAGGAACACATAGCTAAACTTAACTAGTTTAATGCTTTTACGATTTTTGCGTACTAAAGTTAATTCCAAGAAATGTTCGGTGTTTGAATGAAAAAAAT